ACTCAAAATCAAAATGGACGTTAAAACATTTAGTTCTTTTGTTACATTTATATATACATCCAAAGAATATAAGATGATGAATCAATTTGAAAATAAAATTATAACTCGATTATCCACTCACACTGTTGGCAGTTTTTGGCAATAGAAGACCCAATCTTTATAAAATAAATTTTTAAACGTTCCAATAAATAGACGAAATAAATAGTCCAAATGAACTGAATTAAAAAAATTCGAAAAAGTACATAATACAGCATTATGTGCGTTTTTTAATAATGAGTATGTCTTGTAAATATCCATATTTGACGTTGAAGCTTCACTACATAAGCAGAAGATTCAGTCCCTAATGTCTGCCTGAGCCTTTCTGATGAGCAATTGCAGACTCTCAATATAATCGTCCATTACCTTCATAACACTATTTTCAGGCGTAAAACTCTTTGTTTGTGGGTGCTCTGCTGTACGAATTCGAGTTTGGCGATTGCTTAGGTTCGCCCAAGGCATATGATCCTTCATCTTTTTTGCGCATTCTGTATACAATGAACATTACAACCAATATCGCACATAATAATCCAACCACAGCTCCTCCAATAACAGCTGAAAAAAAAAAGCTGATAAATCAACTGTATTGTATGACAATAATCAAAAATTGATGTTCAACTATCATCTATTGATGTCTTCTAACTCTTTAGAAGTTGATGACAGTCATGGCAAATTGCTATGTTTTGTCTTACTGAAAACTTATTGTGATTTAATGTTATACCTAAAACCTTTCCAAAACCAAACTATTTTCTGAAATAATTTGCACTCAACTCATCAATTATTTTTCAAGTAATTTTTCAATTAATTTGGTTTGTTGTTGAAAAGAAAACATTGTATTTCTTGGACTTTGCCAATAAGATGCAAATCTTCGGACAATAAAGTATATTTTGATTTGATTTGATTGATATAGATAGTTGGAGACCCATTAATTTTTAAACGAATGGTAATAGAACAAAAAAATACGAAAGTGTAAGTTCACTGCGAATGAGTTCATTACATATTTTAATTTAGGTTTAAGAATATCTGAGGATCTGTCTCCGTCAAATTTCCGTTATATTCCTACATCAGTAGTGGACACGCCAAATACATCAGCATCACCTTTCATGGAACCCATTTCAAACAGTGAGGTTGCCAGTGCAATATCTGATCTGAAAAACTAAAATTCGATCGATGCTTACGAACTCGATCAACAATGATGAAATAAAAAATTACCAAACAATATAGATCGTCCAAATTTTCGGCAAACTATTTGAAATCATATTAGGCTTTATGAGTATTTTCATAAGTACAAGCTATTCAACTCAAATCAATTCGAATTAAGGAAGTCATCCCAGTGCGGTAAAATGTTCATCAAACTTCAGGGTATCATTAATCCATAATTCCAAGAATTTGGTGCATGTCTTATTTTCGGTGACATGATTCTGGAGGCTTAGGTTTCCAGAAACAAATTTCAACGGAATTAAGTTAGTTTTTATCGCATCAAAATGTTTTTTCCGTTAACCAGCTATCGCACCCCTACGAACGACAACCCTCAAAAGTCGAAACTTGTGCGAGGTAAGGACTAACGAGGTCTTACCTTTCAACGTGTGATTTCTAACACGGGTTGAACAATAGCAAGTGAAATTCGAGAGAGTTTGTATCATTTCCATGACATAGTGAGGATGTATTGTCTGCAAACATTGTAAACTTCTCTTGTATTTCGATATTAGATAGGTCATTCACATAGGGCCAAGGACTGATCCTTGGGGGACTCCACAGGTTATTTTCGACAGACTAGAAATTTGTTCTGTAACTTTACCATTTGAATTCTACCCGAAAGATAAGATCGGAACCAGTTTAGGGTTGTTGTTTCAGTAACCTTTTTTTTACAAGCTTCTCTATCATCTTTGACACAGTGGATATTAGTCCAAAAGGACAAAAATTGGATGGCTCATCCAGTTCACCCCCCTTGTGAATGGAAATTACTATAGCAGTTTTCAATATTTGTATGTTCTAAAATGAATTCTTCCGAAATTCTTACGTTACTCAGGTATCTTAAATGATTTTTTTTGTGTGGTTATGTTGAGTTTAAGTTTTTTTGCTATTGTACAATAATACACATTGAGGCTATCTGGATTGATGTCAATTTGCAGTGGAAGCTTGTTTGTTTTCTCTCAGATCATTGAAAATAGCCCAGTTCTCTTTAGGTTTATTGGACGCCTTGGAAAGTCTCGCATTATAATATTTTTCTTTTGCACATCTAATAATTCTTCTAAAGATTTTTGGGTATTCATTGAAATGGCTGTGAAAGACTTCACTTGTTGTGTATTTCCTATTCATGTGCAGAGACCCTCATATTACTTGAAGAGGTTATCCAAGACTTTTTTTTATTCACTTCAAATTTTTTGCATAGGAAAACACTGTACAAAGGCCTCAGTCAAAATATCATTAAATACACTCGGAGGTTCAACAGAGTTCAAAACACCAATTCAGTTAACTTCATTGGTATCAAGTTGAAACTTGAAGAAGTTGTTCTTTGTATAAAGCCTGTCATACCTCGGATTCTCACCTTTCCTTATTTTTTTATATCCTAGTGAAAAATGTGTGACAGCAGCTTCATGATTCGAGAGTGCCACAGGGATAACGAGAGACTGAGTACTCCATTAAAATTAAGACAAACATAATCTATGGTAGTAGCAGAGGATTTTGATATTCGACTCAATTGTTACATATATTGTCAAATTGAAAGAGCTCAATAAGACTTTCAAAGATTGAGTGGTTGTATCCTCCTCTGTAAAGGTTATATTAAGGTCACCTGCTACTATTATTTTATAATTTACAGATAAATTTGTGAAAATAGTCTCCAGATTTCTTTGAAAAATATTGACGTTGGAATTTGGAGATTTGTATAAGCAGAGGATGTGAAAATTACATTCTTTATTGTGTACCAAAGAGAATTCAAATTTTTGCTTTATAAGAAGAGTTTGATAGTTCGTACTGGAACCTCTGGCGTAAAATGAATCTATTGAAAACACTTTCCCAATACCAGAACAAAAGTTATGGTCTGTGGAGGCGCGTTTCGTTAACCAAGTTAGCGTCCTCAGGAGATAATTATGACTAAATTTTACTACTATGTTAGTGTTTTCATATGCTAGTGGCCTAACTACTACCTGTTAGTATTACCTACACTTTACAATTAGTTACATCACTTTATCTTTGGGTTGCGACGAACATCTCAAGTGGAATAATTGTTTATCACCTATAAAGGGGACAATAAAGAGAGAACCATTGAAGGCATGGAGGCGAGAGGTATGGGCCAAACGACCCATACCTCNGTTCACTGCGAATGAGTTCATTACATATTTTAATTTAGGTTTAAGAATATCTGAGGATCTGTCTCCGTCAAATTTCCGTTATATTCCTACATCAGTAGTGGACACGCCAAATACATCAGCATCACCTTTCATGGAACCCATTTCAAACAGTGAGGTTGCCAGTGCAATATCTGATCTGAAAAACTAAAATTCGATCGATGCTTACGAACTCGATCAACAATGATGAAATAAAAAATTACCAAACAATATAGATCGTCCAAATTTTCGGCAAACTATTTGAAATCATATTAGGCTTTATGAGTATTTTCATAAGTACAAGCTATTCAACTCAAATCAATTCGAATTAAGGAAGTCATCCCAGTGCGGTAAAAAAGGAATAGAAAATATAATAATTTGCATTGTAAAAGGACCACACATCATTACTGCTTTATGTGATTTAACAAAAGCTTTGGATTAGGTCTCTCATTCCATTCTACTATAAAAAATTATAAGTCTATGGTATAAGAGGACCCTCTTCTATTTTTTCATCATATCTATCAAAGAGATACCAATATGTGACACTGGATTCTTCAAACAATGTGTCCTACTTCGAACCAGTTACATGTGGAGTTCCCCAAGGCTTGGTTCTGGGTCCTCTTCTATTTATAATCTATGTAAATGATATCTTTTCCTACATGTCAAGTCACAATTGTGTTGCTTTTGCCGATGACACTACTATTATAACATACGAAAAAATCCAGGGGAATTGGGTGCGCAATACAAATCAAACTCAAATGAATACTGATATATGGTTCAGAAAAAATAATCTACCGTTGAACAAAAATAAAAGTCATTTTTACTTCCACCACACCTCTGCACCCGCAATATATGAAATGTGTCATTTTTGTGCACAGGAACCTTGACTTGTATATAACAAACTTGAGCATTCACGGTCGGGATACTCGCCATACTACTGTTCTGAGGGTCCCTTCGCATAAGAGTGAGTACAATCAATTGTTGAAAAAGAAAAGAGAAATTTCTACAAAGAAAAACTCACATCTGATAATAAAATGAAATGTATGTGGAGTATTCATAAAGATATAGTAGGCAAATATAAAGCTACAAACCCAGTATTTGAAGGGAATCCAACAAACACGGCCACTTGAGAAACTATAAATAAAACTGAATTCACTTGTGACGTCACAAATAATTCACAATCAATGTTTCTTGAACCTGTAATCGAAGATGAAATAAAGAATTTGGCACAGAAAATTAAAAACAAACATACTTGTGGTGATGACGAAATACCAGTTAGTTTGGTGAAATTATGTATTGATAATGTTGCTATTATTATTTGCCATTTAAATAATAACTCTTTTAAACATGAAATTTTTCCCGAACAATTCAAAGTTGCTTTGATAACACCCATCTATAAGAAAGGGGATAGTGAGCTATTTGAGAATTTTTGACCGATAAGCGTTTTACCATCAAGGACTCCAATAATCAGAACAACCATCTTGACAGAGTGGTCTGGATAGAGTCTGCGATATTTTATCAGTTTTTCCTCCTCTTTTGATATTCGTCTCGCCAGGAGCTGAAAACTCCATGACAAATATCGTCTTGCTCTGGTGGTCGAGAAGGACTACATCAGGCTTATTAGCTTGTATGAGCCTGAGGGTGGGAAACGAATAGTTCCAATAAATTCGGCACTTCTCGTTCCTCACAACGGATTCAATATCCCCCGGAGTGTAGGGCAACACCGGTGTCTCGTCAATGCCGTAAGAGTGCCGTAGATGGTAATATAGCACTCTTAGGGCCGCGTTATGTCGATGAACATAGGTCGAGACCGCATATGCTGGACATGCTGTGATAGCAAGTGCATTAGGGTCTCGGGCGCCTCGCGGCAGGCCCTGCACTTTGTCATGATCGTCGCAGAATACGGACGTGTGTGAATGTGCTCTGTGAGTTACAGTTAGTGGCCAGACTTTATCATCATTTACCAACAAAATAAAATTCAGTGTGAGTGAAGAGACATCTCTAATTTAATCATACTGAGTGAAAATGAGTACGAGACAAAAATCTGAATTTGAGAAGTCTCTCATCGAGGCTTTGAAATCTGACAATGTCATCAATCTGATGCCATCATCAACTCAATTACTAGAAAATGCTGAAAAATTCAATTCCTACGATGCAAAAATAGCATCTTTGGAGGCTGAGATTATACTGTTGAACTCGCATAACAATGATCAACCAACAAATGATTTATCAGGAGTTACCCAGAAGAAACTGAAACAAAAAGTGGACTCTAGAGCAGCAAGCAAAAAAACATATTTGACTGATAGGCATCAAGGAATCCGATAATGAAACGTTGTCTCAGGCCAGGAAACTATTTGTTGATAAACTAAAAGTACATACTAACAATAAAATTGTTGGTGCCTACAGGGTTGGCAAAAATTATAATGGTCTCCCTCGTCACATAGTGGTTGCTATCAATGAAGCGGACATAAAAAATATCATTTATAGAAAGAAGAAGTTGCTGAATTGTAATGAAAGAAGACCTCACGGTAGAGAGACTGAACCTGGTTAAGGAGGCATCAGATAAATATGAATTCAAAAATGTGTGGACTTTTAAAGGGGTGATTTTCGTCAAAACTGAAAATGGTGTGGAAAAAATAACATCTAATGGATAAAAAATGTATATCATTCACTAGGTATAACTGTAGAATATATCGATGTCTGTAAATCGCGAAGATTTCTTAACATTGGGTCACTAAACATTCAATCTTTAATTCCTAAGTTCAATAAATTGATCAATTATAAAAATCATCATGATTTTGATATTCTTGCAGTAACTGAGACATGGCTGAATAACAGTGTTGACTCAAATAGACTAGCAATGGACAATTATGTGCTCATAAGGAAGGATCGAAACACAGGCTTGAGGGGTGGTGTATGTGGTCTGGTGTATTGTATGTGCACAGTAAACTTCAGTATCAAGAAATTAATGTTTCAGATGAAATAGAACAATTATTTGTACAAAATTTTGTACAAAGAATTTAATTTTGTGCTAATTTCCTCTATTGAAATAAATAAACTTGTTAGTGAGGCAACACATATAACTCCTACATCTCAATCTCTCATTGATGTAATTCTATGTAATAATGATACTTTAATCGACTCGACTGTTATATATGAATCTGACTTTTCTTGTCACGAATGCATAGGTTGTACAATGAATTGTAAAAAACCCAAATTTGAACCAAAACTGCTCACTATCAGAGACTGTAAAAATTTTGATGAACAGCAATTTCTAAGTGACTTTCTGGAGTCAGATCTACAAAATACTTTTTACATTAATGATATTGATGATAAAGTGCAAATTTTGACCGAAATGCTTATCAACCTTTACAATAAACACTTCCCTCTAAAAGTTATCAGAATTACAAAAAAACTCACCCTGGTTGACAGATGAAGTGAAAAATCCAATGAAAGAGAGATAAAGCAAAAGCAAGACATACAAAAAAAAACACAAGAAAACTGGGAGGAATACAAGCGTTTAAGGAATCTAACAAACCATGTCATTACTAGATAAAAAAAGAAAATATTTTTGAGCAATTTCTAACACCAAGGGTAAAATCTATGGAGAAATTTGAAATTGCTGAATATATCAAAAAAACCGCAAGCTGATATTACACAAACATTTAAAGACCCCTAACATCATTAATAATCATTTTTTAAATAATATACCACATATTGATGCCAATAAGCGACTAATATGAAAATAATAGAACATGTGAGAATGAATGTTGTTTCCAAATTGTTGATGGAAACTCTAAGAAAATTAAAAATAGTTCACCGGGTTTCGATAGTCTGAGTATAGCTTTCATTACGGTTATACCTACTTGATACAGTAGCTCTACAGATAGACAAAAACAAACCATAAACTGCACCTAGGCCATGAAGGCGGCATGTCAAGCATAGGGTATTCAGGACTTTCACTTGTATATGGTTTAGACGACCTAACAACATATTATGGACACTGATGGTAATTTTTTTATGAATACTTGTTTTTGTTGAATCTTATTCGTATTCATAAAGATGTATTAATATATCTAATTAATAACGTTGTAGAGAAAATGTTTAAAAAAGTTGCAAAATTGATATCTCAGAAACTGAAAATTTAAAGCATGCATTTTCAAAAAGCAATAAGTTTTGAAATCTCATGGAAGACTTTGGCAATTATATTTCTGTATCGCGGAGGAAAACAACAATATTATGTACACACTTTCCCCGACATCTAAACATGGCCGATTAGAAGATGTGGAAGGAACACCAAGTCCAGTTCTCTTTACTTAGAAATGCAACACATATCTTATAATGGCTCTTTCATGAAATGTAATTAATGTGACATAGTATCCTTTACCTCCAGGTTACAGATTTTCGGGGGAATAAAATAATCTCACCTGCTAATATACCAGGTTGAGCGAAGAAAGAAGTAGGACGATCATCCGGTTTAGGGTTCATCCTGACACTGGTATCTGGAGTAGGTTCTGGAGCTCTCTTGGGTTCTATAGGAATTTCCTTGTCAATGTCTAACTCGTCCGGTCGATTTCTTGGCGCTGTTGGTTCAAATACTGGATTTTGGTTGATATCTGAAAGAAGTAATTTTAATTACGATTTGTTACAAATAGGAGCCACGAGTATTTTGGAAATCTTACTCAAATACAACATAATATATTGCTTAGGATGTTCTTTACGAAAACTTTCGTTGAGAGAACTCACGCCCTCTGTGGGCCACAATTGCATATGGCTATTCCACAGCACCTGCATCTCCATTTCAAAATTTTTTTGGTGACGGTCATAGTCCTGGGTTAATCTTGCCATTTCATGCGATGATACCGCATGGAATGATCCTATGCTGGCCTACCTATCAAGCGCCTTACTGGAGTTCATTGGCAAGGAGCTAAATTTACATCATTTAGGGACAATATTAATAGTATTGTACAGAATACACTACCTTCCTATGTTCATTGTACATTTGAGTGTATCTTTCAAGTGCATAAAGACCTAATATGTGTGATTGATGACTTGTTTACTTTATGGTAACTCATGATCACTTAAATGGAATGAATAAAAACACTTTTGTCTAAAAACCACTTGAAAATTTTATTTATACGACTGGTTTTTAGGTTTGATCCCATTACCAAGAGTTTTGATTCAAGTGCATTAAGACCATTTTTGCCCATTTCCAATTTTTTTATTTTAAAAGTAGTTGAACTGACACAAAACACCAACAACGTATGCGATATCAGGTCTCTTTTGAAACTGCTAAGTACATTAGAGAACCAAGTACACATTGAAACGTAATTCGTTTAATTCTTCCTGATTAACTTCTAGACGTGTAAACTTTTGTTTAGGGTCCATAGAAGTTTTCATTGGTTCACAATTGTTCACAATAAATTTAATGATAATATTTCTATCAACTTTCTTGATCCATACTCAACTCGGATTTCAATCACAAGCAAAATTTAGCTTCTCCAAAATCTTTGCATTTAAAATTTTTCATAATTGCATCTTTTAATTCCTGCTCTTTATGGTTGCCATTTAGGAAAATCTAAAACAAGCACTGCTCCCAAACATGAGAACTTCAACACTTTTCTCGACTTGCCTTTCACCAATCAAGTTGACGTCTTCAGTACTTGCTTAAATAAGTCCACTACGACTAATTTGATATTAATCACTAACAAATACAAATTGCTTTGCTGTTAATACTTAATTTTTTGGAAAAAAATACCAGCAAGCGAGTTATATAAAGTTATATGAATATAAATAACTTACAAGTTGTTCGAGGTTTCTCAACATCAGGTTCGTGGTCGTCTTCATCATCTGGACCAAAGCCAGATCCACTCGATTCGAGGTCATGGGTCACCTCCCCATTGTATCCACTTCCTTCGATGGCCGAATCTTCTTCTTTGAAGGTTAGGTCACTGGAACTACTGCGTTGGTTGTTCTGAAAACCAAATGAGATTTTTAGTATTTGCGGAAACAATTTTATACTTTGGAGTGTGTATCAATATTTTTATCTTGTTATTTCAAATTTTTTGCACACACAGTTTCGAGTAATCTGCAAAAATAACAAATATTTATTAACAAAATATTAATACTGTTCTGGTTTGTTGGCCGTGGTTTACAGGTTTCAATGACTAACGTTTTGGCTTCAACTGCCATAGACATATCAAAGGCGATGAGGCAACGACTAGGAATCGCACGTTGAAATATAGGGTCTCGTTAGTTCTCAACAAACACATTTTATTTTTTTTTCAACATCATAATGTTAACATTTTCTCATTCTTGTCTGTTCATATTGAACTTATTTTTTCGTCTTGAAATATCCATAAAACTACCACAAGAATCTGTTATTACAGCTCTGTTACATTACTTACAGCACCTATTTCACAATAGGTGACAATTTTCGAATGCACAGAATCTCAATTTTTCAAGCAAACAAAATATCGATTATTCTGATCGAATAAGTGTTTTGAATAGTATGTCAGTTGCGTAAAATAAGAGGAAAAATTTCACTAGTTCGGACTTCCATTGTCTACTATATAAAATGATTTGAAATCCCTGAAACAAGTAAAAAAGAATAATTAAAAAAGAATAGTATTTTTTAATTATTCTTTTTTACTTGTTTCAGGGATTTCAAATCATTTTATATAGTAGACAATGGAAGTCCGGACTAGTGAAATTCATCACGAAACATTGTCAATCACCTTCAAACAAAAGAGGAAAAATGTAAGCTGGAACGCCACTGGGTGATAGCACTGAAGCAAATACACCAATAAAAAGAAAAAAGTTCGAGAGGCTATGTATCTATTATAGTTAGGTCACGATAACATATTTTTGTTCAAATTAGTCAATCAGAACACGGGTAGAACCGATAATAATTCTAAAGCAACTAGACCAAATAGAGAAAACACAAAAAGTTGTCCAATCGAGAGCTGTAACAGTTAGTTTTTCTAGAGCAGACACAGACCACACGATTTCAAAGACTAAATGATGGAACTGAAATAGAAAGGGATGCCAAGCGATGATAATAAGTTATGAAATTGCTGCAAGAGTAGGAAACATGTGAAGTGACTGACCATTCTAAACTGCGCGTCAGAAAGATCGGAACAACTGATTTTTTATCCAATTCATCTTTCAACATATTTTTTTATTTTGGTTTTTCGCTTTGGTCAAATCACTTCATCTAATTTTGATTCTGATAACATCCTGTCGAAACATCCTGTTTCGACAAATATCGAAATAGGGTGTTTCAACTTTTTTATTACACATAATGTATTTTGAAGATAAGGAAAAATTGCAGAAAGTTTTGATTAATTGTTATACTTTTTTAAGTTATTCTTTGGTTATAAATACAACCCAAAACGTCAGTTGGAACAAATTTAGAATAGGTAGTTCAAAATTAAAGAGCAGGATTAATGTCACAGCCGAGAAATCAGAGTTTCTTTTCGACGGCCTACGATCCTTCAAAAGTAATCAGATGGAAAAATAAGCAATAAGTTCCGAAAATACGCAAACGTCTCCATTATCAATGAGAATTTCTGGTTTTAGTAAAAGAAGTTGGGAGATAGTAAAGCTATAGCTTCAAATCAAAAACCTAAAACAAATCAATTATATTGATGGTGAGCAATATATAAAATAAAATGAACTATGTGATGATATTATGAATGTCTCGTGATATTTCATGGGCAAAAAAAAACAGACATAAGGGCAACGGTGAACAGTTTAACCCTGAATGTAGACCAGATATTATTCCTCTGGACCTTATATCTATTGAGTACATACTTCAAGATCTATATCGAAGCCCGTAGCTAATATCACAGACGTCGTAATTCCACGTCATACTAGTGTATTTTCGCGTTTTATATTGGGTGTTCTCGATTGGCGTTTGGTCAATTTTTGACATAAAACTGATATATATTTTTAAATTGGTTGCATTTCCTGACCATTACACCAAACACCTGTATGACATTCATTTACTCATAAGTAATGGGTATCTTCAATGACTTTACCCCCTCTTTCGTTAATTCAGTGCTTACTCTACACATCAATATTTTTTGTCTTTTTTGACATGAATTCGTCATTATTGTAGTAAATATACATAATATTTATTCATTGGCTTCGAAAATGCAATTTCTTTTCATGTCAAATAATATACACTGGTATCATCTAGTATTGTTTATATTACTTTTAACCTGTACATAATCCCCTTTTCATTACTTTTTCCTCGATATTCAAGTGTCGGTGTTATTATTTCACGATAAAATCGCTTCAATTTCGATTGAGGTGCCTAGGAATATCATTCCAACTGGGTTTCTTCTCTTGAAGTCATATCTACTTTCATTTTTTCTTGTATTCATACACCCTGAACAACTGTCACATCTTCACGCATATGAAATCCTAGTAAGCCCGCTGATATATTTGGATCTTCCCCTCTGTCAGAATATCGTTCGTTACATATGATAATTTGACTGATTTTTGTCTTGTTTCATATACATCTATTTCTGTTTAATGTCTTCCCCAATTTTCGACAATTTGTTCTGAATGGAAACGGGTATACTGTGTTTAAAAAATACACATCCTCTTTTGCAATCATACCATAACAAAGTAATTCAGATGAAAGGAACACATAAACTCTAGTTCTAGTTGGTCTGTCGATTTTCAGCCATCATCTCTCTCGAAGTTACAATATATGCTCTTGAGCACAATTTCTGATCACATTTAACTAATTTGTAGCGAATAAAGACCAAACTACTTGCACTGTTTCCGTTATACTATATATGAAATTCCACGAATAAGATGCTAGAGATTGAAGCGATAAATGGCAAACGTGATTCACGCTGAGTTGATTGTAGAATATCTCAAAGAGAATAAATCTCACAAAAATACTATGATGTTTCTATTTGAATCTGTTTCTTAAGTGTTGCAGAATTGAGTGCTGATTTCTGGTTTTCAATGATGACACCATAATATGAGACTACCAGTCGCATATTATAGTGGCAAGGTCCGCCAGTGTGGTGGTACTGAGGAGAATAATGGTGAGGGGAGATTCAAAACCGCCATTAGCGCCCTACTTTTCTTCAATGTACTGAGTGCAAGCTATTATCCAAGTGGGAGCTTTCTCTGATTGAATGCAAATGTAAACTGTTTTGTCTCATTTTCTCACTTATGGAAGAAAAGGATGCTGAAGAGAGCGTTTCAACATGAGTTATTGAACCTTAAGAGTATGAATCCTTTTAATATTTTGACAAGAAGTTCCAATAAACCTATATCCCAAACCTCTCAACTATTGAACTACAAGGTGTTGAGAAAAAAAAAATTTCATTATAATATCAATAACTNAATGGAAGTCCGAACTAGTGAAATTCAAGGAAAGACTAATTATCAGATAAATATTTACTATGATTTCTAAAAGGAGAAACAATTCATTAGTTCATACATAAGTTTCTTTTCAAATGACTGATGTTTTTGTTACTGTTTCATTCTGGTTGTTTGTTAAGAGCTGGGTCCGACTAGCGAGGAGGATGAAATAACGTTTAGCAGCGGTAGTTCTGATCTGTATGAGCCATCCTCTGAAGGAGACTCCTCAACTCGATGCTCAAAGATGATGATTTTGAACATGAAGTTATTGAGAGCTATAATACTGCTCATATTGGAGCATCTACTGAGAATAGTAATCACGAAGGACAATCGCCAAGAACGGACACTAATGGTTTTCATCAAGAATACAGGACATGGTTCTACTGAGAACCATAATCACCAGGAAGGGGGACAGAAGGGGGACAGCTCTTGATGAGCTGTCTGCTAATCAAGGAGAGGAACAAATACTGAAAAAGAGAAAAGACCAAAAAAAACTGCCACTATTGTTCGGGTTTGAAAGCCGTGGATTTTAGGAATTTCTTCCTGACGTTTTGCTGGCGCGGGTGGCTAGCTCAGGTTTATACATCCTGAGTTAATATCTCCGATGACTGGATATTACGGCTACGTAACGCGTATTTATGTTGACTACTGAGGTAGTTTGGTGTGCTAATACCTGTACCTGGTATAGGTAAATTTCGTAAAGCGTATTTATGTTGATTCAGGTTGTCTGGTGTGATAATTTCCATACCTGGACTTGGTAAATTGTCAACATTCGTTGACCTTTTTCTACCTGCCGTCATGGTGTTTGCTATTCTAGAACTTCTTAGAATGAGATTCCATATTCGATTGAGGTTTACACATTCTTCTTTTATGTTGAAATTATCCGTGTGTTTGTGGATTTCTATTGCCTTCCGAACCAGTCGACTATGGTATCGTTGGTCGGGGGCAATGAGTTCCGTGTTTTCAAACAGAATCCTGTGGTTTTCTTCACTGAATGCGTGTTCCGCAACAACCGACTTGTCCGTTTGGCATAGTCTGCATGCTCAACAGCCTTGTTTTCATGGATCAAAACCAGAGGGTGCCGGAATATTGGAATGTTTGGATAACTGGATAATAGAGAAAAAAGTAAATGCGAAAATCGTATGTAGGACAAAAAAAGTAAGGATATCAAATTTGCCCTAGAATGAATGGGCTTTATAAAAATAGTTTTTAATTGAAGAAGCAGTGGCGTACTTTTTTCAAAAATATCTCATCTACATTCCTGTATGGAAGCCTGGTTAAATTTAAAAAAATCTACGTCAAAAAATTGCTGCTGATGCTTAGAGCACATGTGCTAAATTTCATAAACACATCTAGGAAGTTATTAGAGTTATGCTGAAAAATTAACTTTTCCTTGAGATTTTAAAACTTTGTAGCTCATAAGAAAAAGGGCTAGGACATAGCTAAAACTGTAATCTCTTGCCTAAACGCTACCAACTAGACTTTATTTATAAGATTTAAAGAACATGTGTAACGCGAACAGTTTCATTAGTTAAGAATCATAAATTTGAAAACAATTTCTTGAATAGAGGATAGAGCAGCTTGATACTATCATCATTGATGTGTTTGTAGTTATTTTGAAAACTAATTTTGTAAGGTTGTCTGAGTGGTAGAAACTTTGAGCTGCGTGGTAAAAATTAAAATTAAAAATGAACATCACAGTATTCAAGGTTGGTTTGATAAAAATTTGGATTTATCACAAATCTTTTCCCATTTTTTTCATTCCTATATACTTCGATCAGTATAATATTTAACATTGTTTTTGCTTT